GTGCAGTTAGAAAGTTTGGGCAAAAACAGTAGATTTACCTCGCAGTACTCAGGCTGCCTCGGTCTGTTAGTTTGTGTTATTGTCTGACTTTAGGGTTTTTAAGGGGTTGGTTTGGATTCACCAAAAGTCACACAATAACACTAACTCACCAACCGACGCAGCAATAGACCAGCAGCTTCTGTGTTCTGCAATGTAAAATCACTGGTTTGAAGAGAGCATGAATGGATATAACTGCTTCCGTTCCCCGTCAGAACGGGCCTCCTGACAGCAAGGTAAAGCGCTGAAAACTGTCTAAATATAGCGCGCACGTTTTTTCTGCATAGCTAGAAAACGTTTTGCTGTCGCCCTCGTCTACAGCAGTACTTTGCTTTGCCAGCGTGCTGGTACTCCTGACCGCTTCTCCAAACTGGGGACTATCCGACCGCCGTCTACTGTAGATAAAACACTGACTATAGATAAGTATCTCACTCAACCCCACTTTAAAAAATACAAACTATCACTTTAAGCAAACTTCACAAACGTTTGCTGTGAGAATTTAATGCATTTCTCACGTTTGGGGGCCGGCTCGCCCTCTAAATGGCGGCGTCTTTGTCTTTTGGTTTAATTAAAGGCATTGATTTGAAAGGAATCTGCTGTGTTGTTTGCATTGTTCTTTATTATTATGGAATAAAACACATTTTCCATTTGATATGTTTTATTTCATGTTTGTAGTCCAGAGGGATAAAAAAAATTACATCAACGAAAATCAGAATCCCAACATTGAAAACCGAATACAAACCCAACGAACAAATAGTTGAATATTTGGGTTCAGCCCCAGTTGCAGCCATCACTTTTTTTAAATTATATTAGAGCTATTATTTCCCACCTGATCCAAATCATATTGTTTACTTCTGCACGGTGCTTTTTTAATGTACCGGTAAATCTCCAAAAAATTACCTGCGCAAAAGTTTTCTTTTACAGGATCAATTCACCCCAAAATTAGAAAATGACGTCATCTCTTACTCTTTTCTAGTCGTACACAGAAACGCAGATCGTTTTGGTTTATTTGACGTGAATGGTATTTCATTTGTAGAACTTCTATTATTATATATCCAACAGGAGTCTCAGCTTTCAGAAACAATGTCCACAATGTTCAGGCTAATCCACAAAATACACTGTCAGTGTTTTTCTACAGGGGACTATTTCTTCTGTAGAAAGTAGTTCCGGGGAAAAGCTGTTCACAGTGCGATGAGTCTTACTTTCAGACATCTGTGTTAGAATCATCCACAGCTCTCCGTGACCTTATTAAAGTCACACGGAGGCCAAAATGGTCCAACTTGTGTTGAAGCAGAATCCGACGTGTGTTGCAGAAAGATCAAGTGGTGGTTGTGTGGATTCAGTGTCAAACAACATGAAGCGATTGTGCCAACTGCTAATGTAGTCACACGCCCCGACCTGTCTGGTTTCAATACAAGCCCTTGTAGGGAATGTAAATATGAAGGGATTACTTTTAGGGCAGCTGAAGGTAGGCATTAACGTTCTCTAAACATAACATATATTTATCTTTACAGGTGTCTAAATTGGCGTCATTGTTGAAGAAGGTTCTGGGGATCATCAGGTAAGATCGATTGATAATGACCATTCTCACACATCATAAAAATGTCAGACTAGGGTCGCATAGTTCAGGGAATATTCACGGCGGAAACTTTGCAGTGGAATTAAGAGGAATTTATGGGAATAAAATTGAGATAGAGGGTTTATTTGCTCTGGTTTTATTTACCATGTCATAAACAGATAGAAACAAACCTTTCACCGGATCATAAGCAGACATAATCGTCTCCTTATGACAGACAAGTATGTCTGCTCATGGGCTGTGGTTCAGAGGCAGAGCAGGTCCTCCAGTTGGAAGGACGGCAGTTCGATCCCTGGCTCCATGTCGAAGTGTCCTTGGCCAAGACACTGAACCCCAAATTGAAAACGAGAGAGGGGCTATACAATTTATAGTCAATTTATCATTTAACCCTTTTAATACAAAAACAATCTACTATTTGAAGAAAAACCTCCAAAATAAAACGCTTTTCTCCAAAACAGAATGTTCCTCTCAGGCCTCCACATCCTCCCCATGACGTCCTGTGTGTGACTGAAGTGTGCAGTCCACTGCATGGTCACAATTAAACTCAATTGGCAAATTTTTAACCAAAACATGCCATAACCCCTGCTTTTGTTTTTTTATGTGTTTTATCCTCCTAAATAAGTTCACTATTAAAAGGTAGGATTTTTATATTGAAATTCCTAAACTTAACTTGAAATGGCTTCAAGTCGACTCCGTCAGCCAATTCTGCTTCCAGCGATCAGTGACTTCTAAATTCCTGATGGGAGCACCTTTATCTGGAATCAGAGTGTGAGGAGCATGTGGGTGGTGTGTTTGTACATTGGCTCATCTTATCAGATCAGATTAAAAAAAACAAGGTTCCTTCTGTGACTGATGGGAGCACCTTTATCTGGAATCAGAGTGTGAGGAGCATGTGGGTGGTGTGTTTGTACATTGGCTCATCTTATCAGATCAGATTAAAAAAAACAAGTTTCCTTCTGTGACTGATGGGAGCTGACGATGGTCGACTTTTAAACTTTTTTTTTCAAATCACGGATGTCTTTATTGTCTTTATTCTTTATCTTTATCTTTATCTTTATCTCTACTTATTCCCACCTGAACAGGTCCAGTCATGTGTGTGGAGAATCACAGCTGACCTGGGTTCAGTTCTTAGATGGAGCCGTCGATCACAACCTGCAGAAAGCTAAAGACCTCATTCAGCAGGACAGCTAGCGTGTGTGTGTGCGTGTGTGTGTGTGTGTGTGTGTGTGTGTGACGTATATGAGGTGAGGATTTCTAACAGAGTGACTGCGTTTATAAGCACATGCATGTACAGCATAAGAGAATTAAAAGGAAGGACTGCTGTCCTCGCATGAACTCCTTGTGTCTCTTGTCTTCACAGTGAATCTACAGTCGACTGCTCGCTAAATGCAAACACAACCTGTTACAGTTTACCTATACGAGGGTTAGTTATAATAACAAGCAAATAGCTTTGAACTGTGCGTGAAGAATAACTGAACAGTAAGGAAACCATGTCCCCAGATCTGGAGAGAGTCACACCAGACATGGGTAGAACCAGGCATAATAGATCTGGTAGAAGACGAGACTGATTATTGAGCTAAAGAGTTGCTGATGAAGATCAGCTCCTCCCAGTCCACTCACCATTGATAAATAGTCACAGAACATTGTTACCACTGGGAGTTTCCCAGTGACCAACAGTGCAGAACAAAGCATTTAATGTCATGTCATCACTAAAAAACGGTTGAAAACATTTCGGCAATGTTGCACAATTGAGGTAAGCGTCATTGTGGACAAGAAGGAAGTTAATGCAGAACAACAATCAAAAGCAATATTACGTAAAAACCTGTAGAGCTTCTTTTAAGGTGTAGGCTATATAATTTAATGTGACATCATAATGCCCACGCATTAAACTTTGCTTTGGAGTGTACCTTTGAAAAATCCTCCATTTGGAGGCCGCTATATCCCGATCACTTCGCCCTGAAGCCTATAACAGTAACAGGAATCGGGACATGCCCATGTGTGAACAAGCAAAACGGTATGAAGCAGTTTAGACTCCTCTTTAAAAAAAGTAAATGATGCATGCATATGTACGGATACAAGACAATGTAATCCTTGTCATTCCTGTGGGAGTTTCCAGTTTCCACTGCATAAGGATAAACCAGTTTAGTAAGGCTTGGCAGTAGTTTGGCAACCCCAGCATTATCATCTAAAATGCCATTTAGCAATGCAACGCTGCCAGGAAGTGATTAACAATGTTGGTCACCATACCTGTTGCGTGTTTATCTGATGTCTGGGTTGGGCTTGTGAGGTCTTTTAAATACAGTGAAACCCTAGAGGTCACCTGTCAGTGCGCCGCTGACTATCTGCCAGAGTGCACTTCACCGTCTTCACACCTACTGTTCTCAGAGGGGAACTTTTGGAAAGATGACAGAGGAAACTAAAGACTCTAGTAAGTACACAAAGGTTATCTGTTTTGTGTTTTGCCTAATTTATACTTTATACGCTTCCACAGAGATGATTTGCAGAGACGCACCTCCTTAAATAATGTACGCTTCAGTACCGCACATCCTGTAAAACAACAACCCTACGTGTAGGCCCATGAGCTCCTCCTCATCATCTAATGTTAACTCTTTCATATCTCCTTTTTTTTGCAGCCATGGAGTTGTGTTGTGCTAAACCTTTATGCAACTATTAAAACACTTATCACATTAATCAAACACCGCCTGACAGAGGATTTTGCAACCGTGGGTCCGAATCAAAAACAAATGCACTTCAGTTCTATATGTAGCTGTATTTAGGTTGTTGTTTTCTGCCTGAGGATTTGTTTGGTTCTTGAGCTGCTTGATTCTGCACCATGTTCAACACCTAGTTTGCGTCTGTGTTGTTTGGTACTGAGCAGGACACGTGCAGCAGGCTTATCAAAGTTTGTTTAATTGAAAACGTATGCTCCTGTGAGTATGCTTATGATGATGGTGAGACTGAAAGCCAAAAGAAAAAAGCAATGAGCTGAGGCTAAAATGCTCCATAGAAGTGAAAAGTGAGGTGATCATTATCTGTAGGTTCGTCACAACAAAGCATCTGTCATGTTAAACTTAGACTACATCCACACTAAACACTTTTTTTTTAAATGCTACAATCTCCATACGCACAAGTGTTTAAGCATCGTTTTAGAAATTAGCTCGGTCCATAACTATATATTGTATATATAAGTGGACGTTGTCATCGTGACGTCACCCATTGGTTTGTGGACTGCTGTTTTGAAGACTCGAGTTTGGCGATTTCACAGTGGCCATCTTGGCTTTTTTGCAACCAATGAACTGAGGTTACCATATTTGGAATGCGGAGAAGTGATGTAGAGACGGCGTATACGTCTCTGGTAGCGGTAGCAACCTGTCAATCACAGCAAGCCCGCCTTAAAGCATACCCTGCTTTATGGTCTGTTTGACTCTAAATGGACCATAATTTACTAAATGAACATCATGCTGTATTGAAGAAGACTTGAAACTAGAGATTGAGACCATAAACTCATGTTTACAATATTTACTGAGGTAATAAATCAAGAGAGAAGTAGAGTCATTTTCTCATAGACTTCTATACAACCAGAGGAGTCGCCCCCTGCTGGTCAGTAGAGAAAATGCAAGTTTTAAGACACTTACATTGGCTTTACTCGGCAGAACCGGAGGTTGCCGCCTGATAAAAAGGACCATACTAACGCCTGAAAAAGCTTATCGCATGACCATTCACGTACACCGGGCATGAGCGTGTCGGTGTAAAGAGGAAGCAGATTGTTTAATCTGTCGTTGGTTGCTTAGTTACAGAAAAGACAACGTATTTTTGTAATTCCTATGAATAAAAGGTCTTGTTTGATACTTAGTCTTATTCATTGGATCCACTATTAATGTAAAAGTAAATTCACATGAAAGTGCAGCTTTAAGGTTTAAAACACACAAAAGCAACAATGGAAACTAAACTTCAAATCTACGTTTTTTTGTAACCATTGCACGTGTCAGGGATTTTCATTTGAGGTGAATGTAAAGGTCTTCCTGTGTCATGTTCATGTCGTCATAAAATTGCCACTTCCAGTTGAAATTGTTTTTTTATCGTCACATCAGGATCATGTTTGTTTGATAGATAGATAGAGAGATACTTTATTCATCCCGCAAGGGGCAATTTATTCGTTACAGCAGCAAAAAATATACTTAAGCACTTAAGGTGACAGAGTAAAAAATAAAAACATTAAGTATAAAAATGCACAATATATACAATTAAATAGAATAGTATCAAATTAACTAACTAAACAGTAGTGCAAAGATTAACCAACAGCAAACAAACAATAGTGTAACAGTGTTATAGTCTTGTGATTTATTATAAAGTCTTATTGCAGTTGGCAGGAATGTTCTCCTGTATCTGTCCTTGTGACAGCTGAGCTGGATGAGTCTGTCCCTGCAGTAGGTGGTGGAGAGGGTGGTCCGTGTTATCCGATATGGATCATTTGTGACTGCGACGTTCACATGGCGTCTGAGGGTTGACACGCTTTTCCAGGCTGTCGTTCAAGCGGAGGCGAGCATTTGTTTATTTCTCTTATCCCGTCTTGTTCCGTCTCGCCCCGTCCTACTCATATTTCTTCACCACATACTGTGATGCCACATGAGTGACATTTCAAACTATCCAGCCGGTTCACCCCGCTCTGCCCTAGAATCTGTCACTAGGTGAATCCAGGTCTCCCCGCTCCCTCCCCTGAGCTTAAAGGGAATGAACCACAGCTGGCTCAATTGTCTCTGACTTACCAAAACAAAAGAAAGATGTATTTATCTAAATAAAGAGAAATACCTATAACGAAGCATAAAAACCAACACAAAGTACAAAAAGTGAAGCCATTAAAGAAGTGCCTTAAACTTGCATTCTCTCGAATGTCCATCAGGGGGCGACTCCTCTATGAGAAGATGACTCTACTTCTCTCTTGATTTATTACCTCAGTAAACATTGTAAACATGAGTTTATGGTCTCAATATCTAGTTTCAAGTCTTCTTCAATACAGCATGATGTTCATTTAGTAAATGATGCTCCATTTAGAGTCAAACAGACCATAAAGCAGGGGATGCTTTAGGGCGGGCTATCCTTGTGATTGACAGGTCTCTATCACGGTGTTATCTGGTCTGTGAGTTATCCGTGTTTTTGTCCTTTCACAGTGTGTTTTCCGTAACATTTTGGTTCACTAAAATTGTCTTATTTAGCATTTGGTGTACTTAGTTCCATTTTTCATCAGTTGAGCGAATGCTACAGTGCTGAAAAATCATCACAAATTTCTGTTAACCTGTTCATGTTTGTGTGTTTTTATTTTCTTTCAGTCTTTGAAGGAGTGGACCTCCACCCTAAAGTCAACAACTTTGTGCACCACACCAGTGAGGTCTCACTGGATCAGCTGATTGTGCGGCGAGGCCAACCCTTCAAAGTGACCCTTCATCTGAGTCAACCTTTCAACCTAAACCTTTACCCACTCGCCATCTTTGCAGCGACAGGTCGGTCTTTCATGAAATGAGTTGTTTTTATTAGTTGTTGAAGCTTCCCGTTAGCACAAAACTCATTTTGTTTGTCGATACTGTTTCCCCTGAACATTCATTCTGCAATACTTCTGTAATAATTTCCTGAAAATGTAACCATATTTGCACCTAACGTAATCGAAAAATCAAACAAACCCAATAATGTAATAATTCTACCGATAATGTAATAAAATGGCCTGACTGATAATACAAAAACTTTATAGATGATGATGAAATATAATGTAATACCTTTCAGGTATATTTTGTTACTTTTATGAAGAAAAAAAAAGTTAACCTTAACATTTAATTACATTTAAAATTAGAAACTTTTAGATTTTGACTTGTGTTGGGAAATGTACTGTCAGATTCCTGTGAGCGCACACCCTAGTTGTTTTGTCAAGTTCTGGAAAATGTAATTAGGTATTACATAATCAGTAAACATGTTATTAAAATATCAGTCGGGACATTCTGTTGCATTACTGGGTTTAATTACATTTTCGATCAAGTTAAATGCAAATGTGGGAATCATTACGTAAAGACAGGTCTTCTTTGGGCTAGCCAGAAAGCTTTACCCTATTTTCTCTTTTTTTGGTATTTTCAAGGGATTTCTGTCCAGTACGTGAACTATTGCGTCAGTGTTTTAACTTGTGTTGATTAGTTATAAATATATAGCAGTATTGTTACAACAGTGAATATATGTCTGACAGGAAAACATCCGACCGAGAAGCAGGGGACGCTGTCGTTCTTCAGTATCCCAGGTCTCAAGAAACCTTCTCCATCAGCAAAGGCTGTGTGGAAGGTAGAGCTTCACAAGGAGGCCTCCCCGCCGAAAGGCCTCCTGGTCCTCACCATCACCCCGCCGGCTGACACCCCCATCGGGGAGTTCAACCTGGTTGTGAAACACCGGGACGAGGAGAAGCCGCTGCCAACGCTGGTGGTGCTCTACAACCCCTGGTGCTCCGGTAGGTCTAGTACTAAAAACCAAGACAAAGCTTTGCATGAAAATGTTGTATGTTGTAGTTAAACTTGAAACAAAGCATTATGTTTTATAAAATCATATTTTTTTTTGTAGAAAATCTTGATTCGTGAAGTAGCTAGTAATTAAAGCTGATGAAAATGTATTGACGTTAAAAGGTGCTATTAATATTTCCCTCTGAGATGTCGTTAAGAAGAAGTAGAATGTTGCATGAAAAGAAAACACTGAAGTAAAGTACAAGTACCTCAATTTTAAACGAAAGCACAGTACTTGCGTAAATGTAGTGTACTTTCTGTAGTTGCAGTCCAACACTGCTTGTCTGTTACTTTTGATACGTTAAGTACATTTTGCTGATAATGATCATGTCTTTTTTGCCTCAGTAAGATTTTAAAATGCAGAAGTTTTTGAATACTACTAACCCTGTAAACTGAATAATATCCGTCTATATGAATTCACTCTCTCTGTAGATGACTGGGTGTATATGAAGGAAGAGAAGGAGATAAATGAGTATGTGATGAATGAAAGAGGAGTCATCTACACAGGAAGTAATAACTACATCTTCCCTCTTGACTGGGACTACGGGCAGGTACTCTTAAACACACACACACACACACAGTCGTGTTTCCTTCACTTCCATTGAAGTGACGTTCCATTGACTTACATTAATTTCCCGGAGATTTTGCCTAACCCTAACCATAAACGCTACTTGCCTAATCCTAACCCTAAACCTAACGTTTACCTTAACCTAACCCTAAACCAAGTCTTCACCTAAATGTAATGATTTATGTTATGGGGACATCCATTTAGTCCCCAAAGGGAAGGTGAGTCCCCACAATGTGACTGTGTAAACAGATGTATGTCCTCACAACATTAGTAATACATGCACACACCCACACACACACACACGGATACTTTTCATGGAAGCAAAAAATGGCCAAAAATATGTAATCACTAACGAATGCTTAATGTTGAAATTTAAATATCACTGAATTCATGGCCATGAATTATTTTGTATATAATATACAATATTTCAGAATTCATAAATCTAGATTTAAAATTCCGATACTGAACAGTAAGTACTCAACATTCAGGGTTATCTTTGGTACCTTGGATGTTGAGTTTTGAATTCTGTATCCTAAACTTTAATCTTATTGTTCTGTACTGTCAAGAGCAGATGTCTCTTGTAAAGTTTAAATCATATTCCCATCTGTACCGAGGTAAAGAAGATACAATTCAAGAGCGTCTCCTCTCATTCCTTCTGTTCAGTTTGAGGACAAGATGGTGGACATTTGTTTGAAGATTTTGGACCTCAACCACAAACACGTCATTGACCCAGCTGACGACGTCTCTGCTCGGTGTAACCCCATCTACGTCGGCCGCGTGATCAGCGCCATGGTAGGACGCGCTCTCTGTGTCCACACACCTATATAGCAGCAAAGCATTTATGGGCGGACACTTACCAAAATCCAGAGATGTTTTAGTTTTTAAAAATCTTTTTTTGCTTATTAGAAAGTTAGAAACTAATGACCCTGTGTGACTGACATTCACAGCTTAACGCAGACTTAATCGATTTTTAGAAAGAAACCATAAACCATTATTTTCTCACGTCATAATTAAACATCAGGTCAATTTTTGCAAAGCCGTCAGTTTAACTTTGAAATCAAATAGTCGTACTGTCAAACGAACAGCTCTACGGCATCATTGGGCTTTATGCAGTTCCACATATTGAAAGTTGAAATATTAGTTCTGTAAACATTTTTGCCAATAAAGAGCTCAAGAAGAAGACAGTAGATGTACAGTATATTATGTAGTTTTCAAATGATAAAAAAGACAAATGGCAAATGTGTCCAAATCTTGAAGGAAAAAAAAGCTACAAGAATGAGAATTTCCTTGTTTTCTTCCAGATCAACAGTCAAGATGACAGCGGAGTCCTGGTGGGACGCTGGGACGGTTCATATCATTATGGGATCAGACCGTCTCACTGGACCGGCAGTCACGCCATCCTTAAGCGCTGGCTCGACAATGGCTGCCAGAGAGTCAAGTACGGGCAATGCTGGGTGTTCGCCGGTGTGATGTGTTCAGGTAACGTCTGTCTTTGCAGGTACTCACACCTGAAACAACATCTGTAAAGTAGAATAGTAGCTCTGAAACAATTGATCGATTTGTCTGTCAGAGAACATTTTTGATACGTCAGCAAATAGCCCTCTAGTGAATTTTGAAGGTTTCACGTCTGAAAAAAAGTCAACAAGTGACTACTAATATTGTCTGTTCATGCTTCAAAAATCATAAAAATGCTGTTCATTTGTGAAGATTATCTTCCTGAAGAAAACGTACAGGTATCATAAACGTTTGTTTGTCACACAACTTATTTTCTGCAATATTCCAAAACCCTAAATAGAAATTCCCATTGGCTTTTTGTGGAGGGAAGCATGAGTGAGGCCACCTTAAATACTTCATACCTGCAGCACTCTATATTGTAACGAGCGACGGAGAGCTGCAATAAAAATATCTTCTGACTCATAATGTTGACACAGATCACGTGACTCTTTTGGAGGATTTCTGGATATAGTAGCTAAATCCTATTAATAACAGCCGCCTCCCGAGTGTCTCTGACAACTCTATTTTTCCCCTCATTCGGCATATTTGCTCTGAAGCAGTGTTCTCTGTGGTTCAATGAAGCATGCTGTGGAATCTTTGTTAGTTCATGATCTTATGCGTGTGTTTCGAGTAAAGCACACTTGCCGAGCAGGAAAAGAACTGTATGGAGATCAGGGAAAAAAACCTGCATGTGATTTGTATTTAAGTCTGAATGTGTCTTTGTTGCTGTGACAGTAAATGGTCATGATTCCGGTACTGTGGCAGCTTAGCAAAGAGGTTACAACATGCAACAACAAAGAGAAAACTAAACTAGTTTATATTCAGGTAAATGTCTAGTTAGGTTTAAACAAAAGAAGGGCATTGTTTCTCTACCAGAAAGGTGTCATGTTGCTTGTTTGAGTGACTCAAATCTTCATGGTTGGTTTCAGTGATGCGCCTGCTGGGCATTCCGTGCCGCGTGGTCAGCAACTTCCAGTCCGCCCACGACACCGACGAGAATCTGAGCATCGACGTTTATCACGCCGACTACGGAGTCCGAGAGAGGCCATCCCCCGACAGTGTTTGGTGAGACACAGAGGCTTCAATATCTTACACATAGTGCATTTAATGCAAGCCCCTTAAAGTTAAAAACACGGCACACAACTCTTTGTAGGATTTTGAAATTGGGTGGTTTTGCACCAGAGATAGTAGCAGCTGTCTGAGGGCGAAATAAAACGCATTTTCCCATTCCAAAATTTTACTAGAATAACACAGTTCAAATTTAAACAAAAAAAAGCAAATTTTAATTTGACTTTAAACCTTCAATAGCTCACTTTTTTTGGCCATTTTAGTTAACAGAAACTGATATTTTATGATCTTTTCAGTCAATATGGCACATCCAGCAGTTACATATCAAAGTGATCATTCATTTTGGAGGAGTTGTGTTTTAACCTGATGAATCTAAGAACAATATTCACTTTATTTTTAGCTCAGTTTTGTTCTTGTTCTGCCTGCTGCAGCTGAAAAACAAGGCTATAAAAGAGCTCAGGTGAAAATTCTCGGTGTGTTTTTGACATAAAACTGGTCATGTGATCTGTTGTTAAGATATTGACTAAAGTCGTGCAAAGAATAAATAGATTTCGTGAACTGATTATGCCAACGGTCAAATGGCATCAAGGCATGAACTTATTCACACTAACCAGAGTGACCTACCAACTTGTGAACTGAAAGGAGAAGCCAGTTTTATCAGGTCAGGTAAGATATTAAACCCATTCTCAGGCCTGTCATCACACCAACATCTCGGCTCCTTATAACTGCAACTATAATAACATTCTGGTGTCGTTTAGGTGTGGCGACTCGCCCTGAGAGCTTTTAATCCGCCAATAACAGAATGATGTTATGTGTTTCAATTTTAGACTGTGATCTGTGTCCTTTAACTTCTATCTTCTTTATGAAGCTTTTACAGTATATACCTTAAAACATGAGTCAAAGAGTGACACACTGTGGTCTATCGGGACTAGATGCTAACATCGAGAACTTCATCTTTTAACAAAAAGAAGAACATATCAGTCCAGTGCTGCAGAATGAATCCAGTGTTCTAGTTTGAGTGGTTTATCTTTTGCTTTATTCCAGGAAGAACTTGATATTTGTTTTTACAAAATCAAAATTCTAAAAAGTTTCTTTGTTTTCCGTATTTCAGAATCAACCTGTTGTGGAAACTCGGTTTCCAAAGACCTTTAAACCATTTACATATCTTATTATTGTACATTTTAGTTACTTAATTAAAGACATTTTTAACAAGGAAATAGAACCATAGACAGATTATTATTATTATGTATTTGTATGTCTTAAAACATGTCCAAAAGGGATCTTAAAAGAATATTCCAGACTATTATTGTTTAATATAATACTCCAGTGGTGTGTTTCAGATCTACTGCACTGCTGCAGATTCTGAATGTTGTTTTGTGTTTTAGGAACTTCCACGTGTGGGTGGAGGCGTGGATGAGGAGACCAGACCTGGCAGAAGACGGCAAATATGACGGCTGGCAAGTTCTGGATCCAACACCACAAGAGAAAAGCGGCGGTACAGACTCTCTTGTTTAAACCGGATTTGCTGGTTTCTATTTTATCTCCTGCACCTGCAGCAACACACACACATATCCAAATGTGAAATCCTCAAATGTTTAGGTTTGTTCCGCCAACAGTCCGAACTCTAAAGATATTTAGCTTACTAACACATATGACAAAGAAAACACACTCACATGTTAGAAGCTGGAACCGACAAATGTTTGGCATTTCACTAAAACACGTATATCAAAATAGTTGCAGATCAATTTTCTGTCGATTAATCAACTTATTGTTTTAGTTCTGCACATGCATGCAACGCAGCCCCTTCAATTCATTGATTTTGTTGTGAAAGCCCCTTTAAACTACTATATGCATGTATACAAGCATACATTTTAGTTGTGATAGAAATGAAACATTTCCTTGTTGCTTTCATCGCGGTGTCTGTCAACGAACAGATGGCATTTTAAAATCCTACAGATGTCTTTAAATCGCATTACACCAAACTACTCTGTGTGAGTTGAGAAGTTTGTTACTTTATTTTAATATTTTAACGTCTCTCCTCCTGTAGGTATATACTGCTGCGGTCCAGCTCCGGTCACAGCCGTCCGGAGCGGACAGACAGACCTCAAATATGACATCCCGTTTGTCTTCGCTGAGGTCAATGCCGACTGTATTCACTGGCTGGTCAGTAAGCAGATTTAGAGCCAAATCTCAACGTCACATTTAGTGATTTAGTGTAAAAAAAAAAAGAGGGCCAGCCGAAGCCTAATGTATTTTTGTTGTTTCTATTGTCTGTTTGTGTGTTCTATCAGGAGAAAGCTGACAGTTCAATGGTGAAAATCTTTTCTGACACCTCGAAAGTCGGTCACAATATCTCCACGAAGACTGTCGGCTCCGACAAGAGGAATAACATCACAGACAACTACAAACACAGAGAGGGTTGGTTCACCTGTCAAACACCTGTTTATGCTACACTATAGACCTCTGTTCTGTTAGGAAACACAATGTAGTATTTTTGTGGGCGAAACGTAGGACGAGGAAGAATGATTCTCTGAGCATGTTAATATAGTGAAATTTTATTGGCTTGTTATTAGAAAATACCAGTCTGGGCTCACTTTCTACAAGCAGTGTATAGTTAGCATGAAAGCATGGTGGAATTAGCATGGTAGCTAGGTAACTAGCCAGCCGTTAAAAAGGCGGAATTTGCAAGCTAGCTAAGTAGCCAGCTGTCCGCTAGTTAGCGTGGTAATTCCACCATGCTTTAATGCTACGCTGGTTAGGCCAAGTTCACACTTTATGACTTTCAAAGTCACCCGATAGCTCTACTGTTCACACTACATATTTTGCTGTCTTGTAATTGGGAGTCATGAAGTCGTCGTGGTTTTCCCTGATGAGGTATCTGAAATAAGTTTTGTAATGAAAACACATGCTAGAAGTGACATGGGCGTAGCATAGCCTTCTGCGTGAGCATGCTGTGGTACAACAGCCGTGTTGGCTGAGGAGGTTAGCAGAAGGCTATGCTAAACTATTAGCAGCATTTTGACGTTGGCTGTAAAGTGTCTATAGTAGCTTAGGAAATTGACTGAATCCCCATAATTACAGGATCAGATAAGGAGAGGTCTGTCTTTCAATACGCCATCACCAGAGACTACTCCAGTGTTGCTGAAGAGATGGAGGAGGACAACAAGGAGGACGACGAGAATGAAGAGATGGAAGAAAACAGCAACAATGAGGAGAGCGGGGAGAACATTGAGGTTGAAGAGACGGAGGAGGGCTCAGAGAATGAAGAGACGGACGAAGAAAATGAGAGTGCTGACGAGGCGGAGAATGAGACCACAGAAAGTACGGGGAATGAACCCCCCGTCAGCCCCCCACAGCCAACTCTGCCACCGCAAGTGTTTATGCATTTTGAAGAGGTGCGTCACAGAAACTAAAGTTTCCCTTTAGACTATTGAATAGGATGTTTTGTATGCTATTTTGATTTTTGGCTATTGTGATTTAAAACAAAACTTGGACGAGGTCCTGGTAGGGTTTAAGTTTGAGCATGAATTGCAACGTCCACACTTCGAAACCCGTTGGGGACCTTTGTTGCTGTTTCCAATCTTCCACATGTCTATTGCCTTTTTCCTAATGAAAGCAAAAATACCAAAAAAAACTAACCATCGAAATATCAACTTTCTTTTTTATCACCCCTAAAAAAACTGCACCTTGGGAAAAGTCACAATACTCAATTTTAGGGCCACTGCTCTTCAGAATATATCAATCAATATATCAATGATCTGTTATCCGTGTGCAATGATGTCGAAATCATGATGTTTGGAGATGACACCATGCTATACATTCACAGGACAAACGCATCAGAAGTCACCATGAAATTAAATCAGGAAATGTCTCACTCTAAAGACCGTAACTACTTTTCCAACAGATACAAGCTTTGGGATTATCCTGACATCTGCATAAATAGCAAAAATAAATAAAAATCGTATGTGGAAGAAGTACAACAAAAAGACAAAATACCAAAAAATGATCTGCTTTTACCTTTGATTGCGGTGGCAGTCATCACTTTATCCTCTAATTCAATTAATCAAACCATAATTTATTTTTCTTTGATTTTAAATGGCCACATTTTTTTATTTTATTAAAAATAGAATCAGTAATGGCAAGATTAAACTTCAACAACCCAGATATTTTAAACCTAAACAAACACATATCTTGTAACTGTTGTTACCTGTTATTAACTACTTGATCAAAGACTAATTCCTTTGGATTTCTTTCAATACGTGTATTTTGGCCTTTTATCAATGTCTCACTGTGTGGTGCTGCAGGTGACCCCACCGACGAACGGTAAGAACGTGAGATTGAAGCTGGTGCTGCAGAGTAAGAGCACTGCTGCCAGGCCGTTGTCCATCAACATCAGGGTCCAAGCCATGAGGTACAACGGTGAATCGGGTGTGAACATCCGGAAGGAGGTGAAGGAGAAGACGCTGCAGCCTGGGATAGGTGAATCTTCTTCTGTGAACATGTAAATGTAAAAACATGTTGAATTTTGGAGGCAGATACCTCAAAAGGTTCACAAATATAACCAAAACTATGTGTGTATGGAAAACCGTATGTTTTTGTTGAATTTGTTGTGAACCGACTCTTCTCTTCCTCTGTCTCTTGGAGATCTGGTCATCCCTATCCGGATCCCGTTCTCGGACTACCGTAAACCCATGTTGGAGTGCGACAGCATTAGGTTTTTAGCTGTGGTCACGGACAAAGAGAAGCAAGATTACTCATACCTGGCTGAGGATGATGTCGTGCTGCTTGACCCTCCCATCACCATCAACGTCAGTAAAATCAAATCTCAAATCATAAAGACATGTCGTCCAGCTTTGTTCAGCTGTCTGTCACACAGCTGTTTGTGTCTCTTTTCACATTCAAAGACTAGCATTAAAGTTCCAAAATGAACAAAATGATAAAAGTATATATAACGAGACTCCAGCCAAGCTATCGGTACTGTGACGCCGTACATAGGCCCAGTGGTGCTTTGGGCTAAATACTCATGTCAGCATGGTAACATGCTCACAATGACAAATTTAACATATATGTGTTTACCATCTTAGTGTAGTGTGTTAGCATGCAAATGTTCCCTAATTGGCAATAAACTACAGCTGATGGAAATGTCATGAGCAGGTATTTAAGTAATAAATGTAGTAAACGCTCGTCCAAATCACTGCTGACGCCGCACCAAACTGCCTGTCTATCTCTGGGCGTTAAAAATGATATGTAAATAAATATATTATAATATATTATATGTATTATTAATATATAAATATAATTTTTAAATCAATATTTTGTGTCAAATTATTGATTTCTTTAATAAGCAGCCGTGTAATAAGCAGGATAATGTCATTATTGTGCAATAATAACTATTTCAATGTCCATTATTACTTATGTAAAACAACGACAGGAAACATTTTATTGCACAATAAGTGCAGGACGTTCTGTTGTCGTGGAGCATTTTAACAGTGCAGAATAAGTACTTTTACTTAAATAAAAGATATAATTATTAGTTCCTCCACCTCTGCCTTTATGTGGGATATTATTATTTGAGCCATTGTCATGTCATTACATGGATAGAGTCTGGGAGACAATAAAATTACTATTACATTAATACAATTTTTTGTTGTGTTTACAGTCATGATGTAAAAAGTTGTAACCTTACATTTTAAACTCCTTGGCATAAAAACTTACAAACCTTTTTATTTTGCCTTTTCTTTCCTCTCTCGTCTTGGTGCATGATGGGTAGTTGTTTCAACAAGTTCAGTTGCCTGACTGAATGTATTTCAATAATCTGTTCAAATGTGTGTTTCAGATTCCCAAAAAGGTCAGACTGTACCGTCAGGTAATAGTGAAGGTGATTTTCAAGAACCCAGTCAACGAGACGCTGACGAAGTGCTCTCTGACTCTCGCTGGAAGCGGCCTACTGCGTGACGAGGTTAAACTCGAGTGAGTATGTGTGTTTGTGAGTGTGTGTGTGTGTGTGTGTGTGTGTGTGTGTGTGTTTGTCTAACATAGCCTGACTGGGATGATGAATGCTTTTCATGGTGTTAGGCTGGTTACAGTAAAGGTGAAAATAACAAATAGTTATTTTATTACAATATGTATTAACAATAGTTTTGATTGTCAATCACAAAATACTATAGAGCACAAAAAATATGCATAATCTTAGTTTGATATATGCAACCACACATTTCTAGTATTCTCAGAAAGTATTCTTAACGATATGAAAACAAATTAAAGCTGCAACCAGCAAGTTTCAGGCATTTTTATTGATAAATGTCAAATGCAATTAAGATCAAAATACATTTATACGATTTGTTTTAGTGATGCGTGTGTTTGTGATTAAGCCTTAGAGTTGAGATGTTTCAATACCAATCTGAAATATAAACCGACACCAAAACGTTTTGGTCACCATACCTAAAATACAAAAAAAACTTTTTTTATTGAACAAAATGTTCAAATGTTGTCCAAACATAAGCAGGTGCACAACAACATTATCTCAATAAAACTCATATCAGCAACATTTTGACCTAAATCAGGAACTGTCTGATCAAAGGATAAGATTAAGATTATGAATCCGATGAGGCATTTGATGCCAACATTTGGTATACTTGATGGTTTTTAATACTTATGGACATATTTTAATATTTATTTTCTGCACCAAAAGGGTGCTTCGAAAACCCAGGCCTAGTCTGTTACGTTTTAATGCACAACACTGCATCAGTTAAAAGAAATGTCGCCTATCATAACACCAGGCAACGTAAATATACCCACAAACGTCACTCTTTGTTACCCCACAGGATTCCAGATCTTAAGAAAAACAGCCAAATACGCGTGCACTTCCCGCTCACTCCCTACAAGATCGGTAAGAAGACTCTCGTGGCCGACTTCGACTGCTCCACCTTCAGAGACATCAAGGGCCACTGCCACATCAATGTCAAGCCGTCCATTTATTGAGCGCTTAGTAAGAGTTACATACCTTCACTCAGAAACGAAAGTGTCAGAGTTAAAACTCTTAATGTGCCACTTTCTAAAAGAAAGACTATAAGGTTGTTGTTTTCAATCAAATGTGGTGGTGGTGTATAATAACAGCTGCTGCATTTTTTTCTGCCACGATACTCCTACTCCTGTGTGGTGTTGTGTAATATGAGGGCTGTAGAAAGAAGCCATTGTGCCACATTTAATGAAAGCAGGGTATTTTACACTTTAACCAAACACATATTCTTTGATGAATCACCAATATCTACTCAGTTGTGACGCTGCACAACAAACTCGTTTGCCGCAGTGATTTCCAGCTGACAGTGGAACCTGCTGGAGAAACGTGGTGTTGCCGATGCTGAAAATAAATGACTTTGCACACACTTTTTGCTCCACATCCACTGAAATGAGAATATGTGATGCACCCAGTATTACCCTGCTGTACATTTGGACTGGTGGTGACGCTTCAGGTACGAGCTCTTGTCAGGAAATCATGTCAAGTTGAAAGTTTACATGAATGCTTTAGCTGCAACCAAACAAAATCAATCCGTTGATTCTCTATACATGCTTGGTGCTGCTTCTTGGAGGAGGTGAGCTGCTGCTAAAGTGTTTCCTCGTGCTTAAAAAAAGAATGAGACCAAATGATGTGTAAGCTGGACAGTCTTTGTCTTTATTTACACGTTTTTATGGTTTTATTGAAAATGTCAGTAATATGCACAAATAAAGTGTTACTGAAAGCCATGTGGCCTTTGTGTCTTTAATGGTGACGCTACAGATCATTATACTGTATAATCATACTGTGATAATTAAATGTGTTGCTTCAGGGATAAGAAAGACAAAAATGATTCATGTAACACAATATCACGTCTATTCATACAGACTTGTGTATCGTTTTTGCATTTGTCATGTCAAATATTAGATAGTTTTAGCTCTGATCAAAGAAGGAAAAATAGCTCTTTGTCCACAGTAAGATCCCAACATGATGAGGTTAACACAAATCCAAAAAGACAAATCTAAAGTCCCTGATACACAATATAAAACCTTTACAGCATGGTCGGATGATAAGACAATGGGCCCCTATGCACAGACATGCAAAAGGCCCCGCCACTACTCCTATATAGGAGCACAACACACAGACTTTATAGTTGTTTATCCTCTTTTTGTAGTTATTTTAAGTTTCTTTGTAGTTGTTATACATCTCTCTTTGTAGTTGTTCTGTTTCATTTTTTCATTTTTGTAGCTATTTTTTGTCTGAGGTTGTTTAGCCTTTTTTTGTAGTTGTTATGTGTCTCTTTTGGCGTCATTTTAAGCCTCTGTAGTTTTTTTGCCCTTTTTCACAGTCATTGTGAGTCAATTTGTGGTCTTTTTTTGTCTCTTTGCAGCTGCTTTGCATCCATTTGTTGTTGTTTTGGTCTCTGTGGAGTCTTTTTGAGTCTCTTTGCAGTTATTTTATGGATATTTGTGGTCATTTTGAATCACTTCCTGGTTGGTACATGTCTCTTTGAGTGACATTTTTGTATAGGTGAAGGCCAGGTGGGGCCTAACTGACACGCTAGGCCCCTGGGGCTGTGCCCGGTAGGCCCATTCAGTAATTCATCCATGCATTACAGGCATGTTGGAGATACAGTGTGTTGAATTTCAGGAAACACATGTAATGGCACTTCAATGAAATACAACTATTTGATTTATAGCAGTATTTAAAAACACAATTAAGAATAAAATAACCTTAAAGTAGATGCAGCACATTAGGCAATAGCAATAGACAGGAAATGCAGTGTTAGTGCAATCAGAATTTGCCCCAGATTTAACAAAGGACACTAAGAAATTACACAAAATAAATTCATTACTAATTCAGATGAAACAGCAGTTTTGCTTTCGATTTGAAACAAAGCGAGATTTGCTTGTAAACACCAGAAGAAACTCCCTTTTCTCTGAAATAGAAACCAAACACCTGCTGCTCTCAGTCCGATGCTGCGTTCACAGCTGTGGGAAAGATGGATGTTTGGGAAAGCATTGCTCCTAATGAAATAGCTGATTGCTGACACCAAAAATATTAATACCAAAGTATATTATTAGCTACTCCACCTGCAGATTTTACACACACATTTTAAGATCAGTTTACCACAAAGTATGTATCGTATATAAGAGTGGTTTTCCTTTATTATCACTTTTACTTTTCAGGAACAGAATTTGCCCAAGTACCGAATGTGAACACAAACAAAGAATTTGACGCAAGTTTTGAGTTACTCTCTATGTACAGTAAGATAAAACATATACATAAGGACAAAAAAGCTGAACAAAGATAAATATATTAAAATAAAAAAATAAAAATAGGTATATATGTACAAAGCAACAACATACTGTGTAACATGCAAGCTAAGTGTTTATGTAAATCATAAACACATATAAACAGTGCAAAATAATACATATTGGGTATTTTAATATATATATATGTAATTATATAATATATAGAGTGTGCAGGATTTATAGTCAACAACGCTGGATGATATGTAGAATACAACAGAGTGTATATTAAACTGTAAATATTATTCTGTAGGTAGTGGATCTTTTATTATTACAGGCTTATTGGCACTATGTGACTGATTTAACTGTTTGTTGTTGTGACGGCCTGTGGAAAGAAAAGGTTCTTATGTCTGGTTGTTTGGGCTCTATAGCGCCCAACAGAGGGGGAGAGAACAATCCAATAACCTAATAATGACTTCTGTATTTTTTGGAATCATTAAGGTCCAGGGACAGAGTGTCCAATGCTGTACAGGTTATAAAGCCCTCTTAGGCAGTTTTGTGATTAGTGATATTGGGCTATATGAATACAAATTACTTGACAGGTAAGTTATCACATACAGGCAATTTCATTTGATGTTTTGGTGCCAAATAAACAGTGAGAGAAAAGTAAACAAATGTATAATCTTAAATTAAAAAAAACAGAAATTTACAACACAAAAAGTGAAGAAATAAATATCTGTTAAACGCGCTGTACAGAATTTAAAATATGGAGGATGGTATGGAGAATAATGTGAAAACTCCACCCCACAAATTAAAATACACGTACATTTAATAATACTTTAACTTCTTTGGAAATAATTATTTTTTTCATCCTTTATTTAGCCATGAAGGTCTCATTGAGATACAAGCTCTCTTCTTCCAGGGAGTCATATATATATATATATATATATATACTCCACTATGCTTCTGTAATCCTGTGAATTTCCCCAGTGCGGGACTAAAGGATTATTTTATTTTATCTTATTTGATGTTACATCCAATATAGCCACCAGAGGGCTCACTACGATTGTCCAAAGTCCTACAATTTTCAAAGGACTCGAACGCAGCGTGTAAAGGGGAAGCGAAGTGGATACAGTAAAGTACGGAAGCCTCAACAATCAAACTGACTGAGAAGTACGAAGCTACAGCTAGCCGGCAAGTTCCTGAACCACAAAGTACGCAGAGTAATGTCAGTATTAACAACGAGTACAAATAATTTCAGGTAACGTTTCAGTTTCAGCCGTTTCGACCAAGTCGTTTTCTGACGTGAGGAGGACGAACATCCTTGTTGCCTCATCGCAGAACCGTTTTGCCCGGCAGCCCCGGTAAGAAGTGTGCGAGAGCTTTCTTTACATTAAGCTAACAGCTAGCTTAGCTTAGCCGTGACAGAGTGGTTAGCTCGCTAAGCTAATTTAGCTAACTGAAAACTAATCGAATTAGCAAATTTTTAGCTAGCGAGCTAATGTAGCAATGAGATAATTGTGAGGTGACGCCAGTTAAAACCAAAAAAGACAAACTGTATGTCGGTAAACCGGGCTGAATAAGACTCAGCTGGTAAATTAGTCATATGTTTGTGCATTATATACAATTATTATTGAAGTCTTTATATTGTATAACATTCCTGGCTGACAGCCCTGCAGTAAACTGTCGTCATTTAATTCCGTTGTGTTGAAACTGCGTCAGAGAGGTGTTGATTTATTTATATTAAAGAGTGTGTGTGATTTAGGTGTACTTCTCAGTAACGCAATGCAATATAATGGACCATTAGCTTCGAATTACAGGCTTCAAAAATTACAATAAAGGTGAAATTAACACCTGAACTGTGAGCTAGGTATACCTAATTATCTGGTGTGTTGTGTTAACTGCATATCTTTCTTCAGGAATCCAGGTTTTCCTCAACAACCATTTCTTATCTTAAGGAATGACTTGCATTTACAACGTTGAGATGCAGGTAGTAACAGTTTAAACCCAGAGCAGTCTAAACTGAGTGAGCAGGTTTTGGGTTCAGTGTGGAGATCTGAGAGCACACATTGCATTTCATATTTTGATATTTGTCACAGCTGAAGTTATGAATTGAAGAATCAGGGGTCTGTTAGTATCATAACAGTTTACGTACCATGCCAATTCAAGCAGGTACATCCAGATGGAATATAGTATAAACTTATTGTAATTTCAGTTTATTGGAATCGGTGCCAGCCAGGAGATAAAAAGTCAAGCTGACGCATTCCTAGAATACATTATTCCTGCACAGTTTGGTTCAGTGTATGGATAAGAAAGGAGGATATCAGATTAGGAGATTTGGTGCCATGGTCAACAATTCTCCACCATTGAGAATGAATCTTTGACCTAGAAGAAGATCACACGTCCTCTTTGCTGGCAGCCAGAACAAATCTCTTCATCTGTCATTGAGTAATTGTTGTAGAGACACTTGAGTTAAACAATACCACAGTGGACAAGGACATATTTTGAACAATAGATTACAAATACCCAGACTGTTGGACTGTTTAGAGGAGATATATGAAGTTTCCTCTGCTAAATGTTTGGATGTTCAGAGATGTGTTTCATCTTTCAGTAAAGAAGCAGAGATGCCTCAGAAACAAAGGTCCAAGTCCTGGACGGAGTTGAAACAAGTTGGAAATGAATGTTTCAAGGCGGGCCAGTATGGAGACGCCACCAATTTCTACAGCCAGGCGATCAAAGAGCTGGAGAAGTCCAGTAAGTGTTTGCTTGAATATATGAGTATAAACACAATGTTTGTTTACAATAAGAAGGGTGTACAACATGTACAATAGGCAAATGAAAAATTACATCAATGGAAAAGGGTCCTTTCAGCATGCCGATTTAAATGACACATTTATTTAAATTGGGATTAGGATTCCAGCCTGATCTTTGTCAGAACAAAAATGTCTGGCTGGTCCTTGCTGAGCCAATTTCCAAATGTTACTTAAGTAAAAGCACAAAAGTACTGGCTTCAAAATATACAAGTAAAATAACTCATTATGCAGAATAATATACATGTTGTTCGACTATTATTTTTTATGCATTAATGTGTTCTTCACTTAAATATTGCAGCTGTTAAAGGTGGAACTTTAAATACTTAATGATACACTACTTGATAATATGTCATCAGTTATTATTAGTTTATTTATATTTTTATTATGAAGTTGCTAGTAACTAATATTGTCAAATAAATATAGTAAAAAAAAAAATTAAAAAAAAGTACGACATTTCCCTCTGAGATGTAGAGGACGAGAAGCATAAAGTTTCATATGTAAAGTACTTGTACCTCATTGTATTTAAAGGGATAGTTTGGTTGTGGTATGTTATGAGGTACTCAATCATAGCCGGTGTATTTTTTGACGTTAGATGACTGTTTCCCCGGTTTGGAGAGACTAATCTATGTACTGCTGTGGACGTGGGCAGCAGCAAAACTTATATCGGACACCTAAAAGAAATGCCCTCCTTAATAAGTCAATACCCGTTTAAGTGTTCACTATATTTAGGGTGTTTTCTGACGGAGAACTGAAAGTGAAACTTGTGAATTCTTGGTGGAGTCTGGTTGCTCTGAAGAGAGCATAGATAGCTTTCACCTTCAGCTCGGTTTTCATCAGAAAGAGCTGTCCGACAGCAAGACAGCCCGTTGGCAGTGAGCCTAATACAAATGTAGTGTTTGGCAGACTGTTGTATTTTGTACTAGTTTTAGGCTCAGAGTCTCAGGATCTCTGCAGTGGTCTTCCTGTCCTGACCCTTTAAATCAATGTTGTGTCCACGTCAGTACCTCTCTCTGTTATTATAATGACTATCCTTTGTGTCAGTTGGCCTTTGCTCTTCTTTCTCTTCATGTGTAAAGGATGTTTGGCTGAATGCTCCTCTTTAAACGGTCTTATTTCTCTTTTAAGATAAGAGGAACCCCGAGGATTTGGGCATTTTGCACTCAAACCGTGCAGCGAGCTACCTGAAAGAGGGCAACTGTGCCGAATGTGTGAAAGACTGCAACATGTAAGTGTTTGTATTACACTGTGTTGTCTGATTCTGTGCAGTTGTCTTAATGTTTTTGTGTTTTTTGTATTAGTTATACCACATTTTAATCTTTCAGGGTTTTTGTTCTTGTCACTTGGCTTTTATCTTCTAATGTCGCTTCGATAAGTTAAACCTATGGAAAAAAGATGGACGAACATATACACACACTTCAGCTCCATTTTATTTAATAAAGTGATGATCAATCATGTGTTAGTACGGATGTTTTTTAGGCATCGTGTCTTGCAGCTTTGACTCTTTATAAGTAGAGTTGAGGCTTTCTCTGCCGTCTCGCGCAATGCAGGTGATCTGAATGAGTGTCTTAACTCGTGAAATGTACGTCTTTTCTCTCAGGTCTCTGGAGTTTTTCCCGTTCAACGTGAAGTCCCTGCTTCGTCGTGCTGCTGCCTATGAAGCTCTGGAGCGTTACAGGCAGGCGTACGTAGACTACAAGACGGCTCTGCAGATCGACTGCAACATCGCAGCTGCTCACGACGGCACCAACAGGTACCTGAGCTGCAGAAGACTTAACCTCTGTGACGTGTATTTAAACAAATATACAGAGATATGTATTGAGGTCAATTGTATAATCTATTCTCAACCCACCTGTAATCACAACCAGGTGTGTGCACCAGCAGATCTGTAGTTCTGGTTGTTTATAATCGACCTGTTGTTGGAGTTAACACGAGCTGACTAGAAATATGCATTTCAAAAACAGATCATCCTTTAAACTCTAGTGTCTGACGGGGAAAGCACAGAGAATGTTTGGGATTAAACTATTTACATTTCATGAGGATTATAGACTTTTTCAAGCTCTGGAAGCTCGATGTTGATGCCGCCGATGGATGGATTTATCTTTCACTACATTTAAAGTACTAAACAAGGTGTTTCGGCTCACTATGTTTTCTTTATTGTGTCTCAGGATGACGAAGGCGCTCACAGAGGCAGACGGTCCGTCATGGAGGGAAAAGCTTCCTCCCATCCCCACTATCTCTCTGTCTGATAGAGAGAAACTAGCCCAGAAAACCACAGCCAACGCTGCACAACCGAACCCTTCACCCAAACAGAACGGCACCAGACAAACCAACAAACCTGGTAAGAGGGTTTGTTTACTGTTGTTTTCTACTCGTGTAATTTTAACTATTACAAACCGAACTAGGCATTTATTAAAGTTATTAAATTTAAGGTTGATTCAGATGTAAATCCATCTTTTCCGTCTCTTTCTTCTTCTATCCTCCCCGTCAGCTCCCAGTGATAAAGACATGAAGAAAGGACAAACCCTGAAAGAAGAAGGCAATGCTCTGGTGAAGAAAGGAGAGCACAAGAAGGCCATAGAGAAGTACAGCCAGAGCATCAAATTCAACCCCACTGAGATCACAACCTACACCAACCGGTGGGTCACGTCTTCATTCCTCCATATTTTGATCCCTTTAATGGGAAGAACGCTGGTTAAAAGGATAGTTTGGATGTTTTAAGTGGGGTCGTATGAGGTACGGATACGACATATAGTATTTAAACAGTTTAACCTACACCTGTGAGCCAATTATAATTTACATAAATGTATCAGATTTAATGCATGAATCTGTCAATGCCAATACCATTTTTAGGAATGTGATGAATTACAGGATTTAACTGACTTTGTCTCAGGAGTGCGCATGTGAAAGTTTGCCTTCATGGCTTTCTGCCACAGACAACTTATTTTAACCCAAACCAGGAACTATTCCTAAACCTAACCAATGCTGGTGAAACTGTTTATAATGTAACTTTATGGTGTTTTTGGGAATATTTCTTGTCGTCAGTCTAAAGTGAATCCTTTATTTCTTCAGAACTGAAACTTGAGCAACATTGGATCACTTATAATGCTCATAATAAACTTTATTGATGAAACGCTTTTTAAAGCTCAAAGTGCTTAAAAATAGTCGACGGTTGCAACTCTACATGCAAAATAAGAGAGCGAAGCTGCGCAGCATTCAAATGTTTATTCATAATTCAAATGTCAACATTATGACTGAAGTATTCGGTGCAGCCCTTTAATAAACAAAAAATGATCTGGCATTCATCCACATGGACAATATTTATACAGAATCATATAGAAACATTACTGAGAGCCATTTAGGTATTGAATGATTTGCATTGAGTTCAGTGTCTTTGGGTTGTTTGTTCAGACTTGTAGGTTTTGTCCTAGAACATCCTTTACACAAGCCGTCTGGTGTTTTGACTCTATTTCCTGTGTGTGTCTGTGCGATCAGGGCGCTGTGTTACCTGTCTGTGCAGCAGTACCGAGACGCCGTCAGAGACTGTGACGAGGCTCTGATCATGGACAGCAGCAACATCAAGGCGCTCTACAGGAGGGCTCATGCTCACCTGGAGCTCAAGGTGAGAGCGGGAATCCTCCTCACTGCGGGTCACTTCCTCATTCACACACACGAGAGTAATCAGACGTGTCTGTCTGCAGGATTTCTGTACGGTGGACAAAATAAAAGCATTTCCCGTCTTTATAATTGCTGCCGTTTCCCCTCCGGCATTCTCTCCTCATCTCACACACAGAGAGGACACCGTTAGCTCGGCACTCACAGCTCCGTACAGTTGCAACTGTCGATTTGTTTTGGAGGTTTGAGTTGTGGTAAAGATAGAAATTGTTCATTCTGCATAGTGAATATATATACTTTTACTCTTGGTAGCTTACGTTAAGTATATTTTGATAAGTGAGATGTGTATGTGTGGAGCCACCGTCCTCTGTTTCTCCATAGCGCGCTACATTCTAGGCCCGCCCACTTTTTAATTGTCCGGATTTGATTTAAATCCCTCTTCACACCGCTCAAACTTTTCGTTTCAGGGGTAAATATGTCTGAGTACAGAAGCTAAAGACGCTCTAACTTCTGTTCACCTGGTTTAAAACCACCAGGGAGAAACGCCTGCAATCCTCAGATCAGCCTGCAGGTTTACTTCAATGTCACCGCTCTCCTCAAACTTGTTTAGTTTCTAACTCTTTTAATTCTCGTCGCCGTTTCCTGCAGGACATCAAAGGCTGTGAGGACGACCTGAACAGCCTCCTCAAAGTGGAACCAAAGAACGTGGCCGCCCTGAAGATGCTGCAGGATGCGCAGGATAAGAAGTGATGACGCGTCCGGGACTCGCGGAGGCGGCGGTGAGGATCGGTCCCTGCACTGCGTACAGACGGGGAGGAAAAGAAAACACACAAAAAAAACAGCAGAGCAGTGACGCGTTTCAGCCGCCTGACCTGTGTTTCCCAAAAGCTTCGTTCACGCCAACCATGTGTTTGATCCGTTTACTCACTGGAACAAACACGAGCTTGGTTTCGAGACGCTTCTGGAAAACGCAGCTCCGATTGATTAGAACTGAGGAAGAAGCCTTGATAATGTTTGTAGTTCTACCGGTTTTAGTGTCACTGAGTATTTATGGTTATTTATGTAAGAGCTGAGATCTTTGACGTGCATCACAATACTGACTGAGGACAACCCTTTACCATTAAACACCATTTGTAAAAGTGAGGTCATGTGGAGCTTCTGCTGGACGCCGAAACTTAAGCGTCGAGGTCCACTTACTGGCTTTTGCTGATCTTCCCCCACACCCGGGCTCGTCTTCATCAATGGATGGGACGTTAACGTGCAACACCAAAGATCATCTCTTAAGAGACCGGTTATCACACGGCGTCGGGTCACGTGTTCCAGTTCCATTGGCTGATGAAGATAATAGCATCATTAGAAAGCTTCCATTAATCAAATGGTTAGGTGCCCGTTAGGACCGGGTGATCTGGATGAATACCTTCCATCATGGTGTATGTGTATATATATATATATATATATATATATATATATATATATATCGTCATAATATTCAGCAACCCAAATTCCCTCTGCAATCAGGCTAATTGTTTTATTTTAAAATGTCAAAAACACTTCCATCACAAAATGTTTTTTTAACACATTGCTAGTTGAATAAATCTTCCGAAGCCCAAAGATATTAATTTTAGTGTCACAAAAAAGATCAAAGTTACGTTTAAGAAGTTGGAATCGGAAACTTCTGGAGGTTTTTGCTGGATAAATTAACGGATTAGTTCCAGATTACCGTTTCTTTGTCTTCTTTGACTTGTCGTTGCAGCTGCACTCCTGTTGTTTCGAATGTAAAGTCCATATTGAAGCTTCTCGATCGGACCATCCGACCAACTTGTGAAGGTTTATTCTGCGTTTGAATTACAAGTAAACAACCATTTTTAACATGCTGTTCTACACTCAGTGGTTCAACTATTTATCCCACGTTTGGTTTTCGATGAGTTCTTGTGTGAGAATGTTTCTTTCTCAGTGGATTGTTGCTCATGTTGCTCACCTCACGTGGTAGAGAGGACCATGTTTTTGACTTGGCAACTCAGGATAATTGCAGAGTTGGTCATATTAGGATTATTAATACTATGCGAAGACAGTAGATATACGTTAAATTTGTGTTTGAAGGGACAGTTCACCCCAAAATCTTAGGGACATATTATTCCTTTTAGCTGTAGTGCTATTTGTCCGTCTAGATTGTTTTGGGGTGAGTTACTAAATGTTGGAGGTATCTCCTAACTATAAACTTTGAGCTTATGAGTACAATGATGCGTAATACGGTTGGCGGGGAAGTTCGGCGGAAGGACGTCTCTACTCGTCTGAAAAACTAAGCAACTCGTATCAAAACAATCTAAAGTATAAATGGCACCAAAGTTTTTCATATTTCCTTTTCATGCACTTCAGGACCATTCTAGGTGATCGTGGACTCTGCTGACGTGAACGTATGTCTGTTTTGAAGCTTCGCCCTCCAAACCTTTCAGTGAGCTTTGGTCACAACGAAGCCAAACTCAAATCCAGAGCCTGTTGGGTACAACACATTCTCACCTTCTGTCCTCGTTTCAGACGGAGACACATCTGTGTCCCTCCACTCGGGAGTTATTTCTGTTTACAACCTTTAGGATCAGTTTGGTCACTTTACTTCTCGAATGACAAACATGTGAACCAAGTAGAAGTATCCTCAAACGGGTCGTCACGTACAAAATACCGTCTCATTCTGTGATCAAATGTTTTCTGTTTAATCTTATTTTTGTGAAACAAGTAAAATCACTTTGGTGGTCCTGCTGTAGCTCGGCAATCTCTATCGTGCCCGAAGTGCCTGTCTACGTCCTCCGTCTATTGCTCTGCATTTGTTTTCACCTCGAATGGAACCTTTCAGTTCCAGTTTCATGCCAGGAAGGTTTGTGAACCACGTGTAAACGTCTTCACGTCTGCTAAGTGTGGCTACAGCGCGACTCCATTGGAAACTGAGATCCGTTTGTTTCATCTCACTTTCATCATATTTCTGCTGTTTCTGTAACTTTCTATTTTGTTTGTCGACCTTCTGTTTTAACTGCAAATAAAAGTAAGAAATGAACAGACCCAGAACAACCATGGCTTCCTATGATTTTACATCTAAAAGTGCTACATTTATTTGTAGAATAAGCTTATTCACTTCCTGCCGGCGAGATGGATGAGAAGTTTGAGACCACTCCTGTGTGTGCGGTTAATATCAAAGATGCAGACGGTGTTGGTTAGCTGAAATGACTAGCCTGGCTCTGTCCGTGTGTTGTTAAAAAAAGACCATAAGTCATAAAAGTCATAGGACAATATGTCAAGAGTGTCATGAAAATGTCATCGTATACAGTGGGTACGGAAAGTATTCAGACCCCTTTAAATTTTTCACTCTTTGTTTCATTGCAGCCATTTGCTAAAATCAAAAAAGTTCATTTTATTTCTCATTAATGTACACTCAGCACCCCATCTTGACAGAAAAAAATAAATGTAGAAATTTTTGCAAATTTATTAAAAAAGAGAAACTGAAATATCACATGGTCATAAGTATTCAGACCCTTTGCTGTGACACTCATATTTAACTCACATGCTGTCCATTTCTTCTGATCCTCCTTGAGATGGTTCTACTCCTTCATTGGAGTCCAGCTGTGTTTAATTAAACTGATTGGACTTGATTAGGAAAGGCACACACCTATCTATATAAGACCTTACAGCTCACAGTGCATGTCAGAGCAAATGAGAATCATGAGGTCGAAGGAACTGCCCAAGGAGCTCAGAGACAGAATTGTGGCAAGGCACAGATCTGGCCAAGGTTACAAAAGAATTTCTGCAACACTCAAGGTTCCTAAGAGCACAGTGGCTTCCATAATCCTTAAATGGAAGAAGTTTGGGACGACCAGAACTCTTCCTATACCTGGCCGTCCAGCCAAACTGAGCAATCGTGGAAGAAGAGCCTTGGTGAGAGAGGTAAAGAAGAACCCAAAGATCACTGTGGCTGAGCTCCAGAGATGCAGTAGGGAGATGGGAGAAAGTTCCACAAAGTCAACTATCACTGCAGCCCTCCACCAGTCGGGGCTTTATGGCAGAGTGGCCCGACAGAAGCCTCTCCTCAGTGCAATACATATGAAAGCCCGCATAGAGTTTGCCACAAAACACATGGACTCCCAGACTATGAGAAATAAGATTCTCTGGTCTGATGAGACCAAGATTGAACTTTTTGGCGTTAATTCTAAGCGGTATGTGTGGAGAAAACCAGGCACTGCTCATCACCAGCCCAATACAATCCCAACAGTGAAACATGGTGGTGGCAGCATCATGCTATGGGGGTGTTTTTCAGCTGCAGGGACAGGACGACTGGTTGCAATTGAAGGAAAGATGAATGCGGCCAAGTACAGAGATATCCTGGAAGAAAACCTCTTCCAGAGTGCTCTGGACCTCAGACTGGGCCGAAGGTTCACCTTCCAACAAGACAATGACCCTAAGCACACAGCTAAAATAACAAAGGAGTGGCTTCGGAACAACTCTGCGACCATTCTTGACTGGCCCAGCCAGAGCCCTGACCTAAACCCAATTGAGCATCTCTGGAGAGACCTGAAAATGGCTGTTCACCAACGTTCACCATCCAACCTGATGGAACTGGAGAGGATCTGCAAGGAAGAATGGCAGAGGATCCCCAAATCCAGGTGTGAAAAACTTGTTGCATCATTCCCAAGAAGACTCATGGCTGTACTAGCTCAAAAGGGTGCTTCTACTCAATACTGAGCAAAGGGTCTGAATACTTATGACCATGTGATATTTCAGTTTTTCTTTTTTAATAAATTTGCAAAAATTTCTACATTTCTGTTTTTTTCTGTCAAGATGGGGTGCTGAGTGTACATTAATGAGAAATAAAATGAACTTTTTTGATTTTAGCAAATGGCTGCAATGAAACAGAGTGAAAAATTTAAAGGGGTCTGAATACTTTCCGTACCCACTGTATATCAGAAGGAAATATAGAATTGTATGTCTTGTATAGCATGGCATGTCACTGAAAAGTCGTAGTATTCCAATAAAATGTCATTAAAAAGTAATAGTATATGCCTCAAGAAAATATTTAAAAGTCAGAGTATAGTCCCTGACAAAAGTCTTGTCACTTATCCATTTTGTAGAAACCTGACTTTTAATTAATCCATTGGTTTTAGAAATAGCTCATATGAAAGCTGAAACCGTCCCAAATTATGTTTAATATACTAAAATAAATTTGCTTCACTGAAGAAAGATTGATCATTTAATGAACACAGAAAGGTCAGATTTTGGCAAGACAAAAGTTTTGTCGCCTACAGAGTGTAATGTGAAAATTGAACAAATAATTTATTTCAAATACAAAAATATGTTGCATAACATCAGTGAATTAAGTAGTGGTGCTGTGAGATCCATATTTAATATCTTGTATGACTTCCATGAGCTTGAAGGACTGCATCCATGCGGTTCGACAATGATTCATACAATTTACTGATGAAGTCATCAGGAATAGCAAAGAAAGCAGTCTCGCATGCCTCCCAGAGTTCATCAAGATTCTTTGGTTTCGTCTTCCATGCGTCCTCTTTCATTCTACCCCAGACATGCTCAATGATGTTCATGTCTGGTGACTGGGCTGGCCAGTCCTGGAGCACCTTGATCTTCTTCGCCTTGAGGAACTTTGATGTAGAGATGGAAGTATGCGATGGAGCACCATCCTGCTGCAAAATTTGACCCGTTTTATGGTTGGGAATGTAAGAGGTAGCTAATAATTCTTGATATTTTAGGCTATTGATATTGCCTTCCACCCTGCAAATCTCTCGCACACCCCCATACTGGATGTAACCCCAGACCATGATTTTTCCGCCACCAAACAACTGTTTTCTGGGTGAATCTCGGATCCATGCGGGCTCCAGTAGGTCTCCTGCAATATTTGCGGCGGCTGTGATGTAATTCAACCGAAGATTCATCTGAGAAATCCACCTTCTGCCACTTTTCCAGCGTCCATCCTTTTAGCAGGCTGTGGGCCTTGGCAAATGCCACACGTTTTTTTAATTGCCTTTTGTTTAGTGCTGGTTTCTGGGCACTGATTCGACCATGGAGGCCATTTTGAGACAGAGTTCTACAAACTGTCCTGGTTGACACGGGGACTTGAGGTGACCAGGCCTGGTGGAGCTCTGCTGCAGTGGAAAAGGGGCTGGCCTTGGATTTTCGAGCCAACAAACGGTCCTCCCGAGCAGTTGTCTTGCGGGGTCTGCCGGACCTGGGCTTGTCAAAAACATCTCCAGTCTCTTCAAATCTTTTTCTTATTCTTTGTACTTGACGCTGAGACACATTGAAGGTGTCAGCCACCTCAGCAGTGGATCTGGTCTTCAGCCTCTTGATAATCAACACTTTGGTCTCAGGGTGAATCTTAGGCATGTTGTCAGAGGTCAAGTTGCAGTTGATGTGAAGGTCTGGTGTGCTGGGGTTCTTTTTATACACACCCACTAATTGATTGATCAATTATTGATCACAGGTGAGGCTGTAATCTAGGATTGGGTGCATCATATGACAAGGTGACAAGACTTTTGTCTTTGCAAAAACTGACTCAGTGGGCTTTACCAAGCTGTGAACGTTAGAATGCTTTTCAGCAGTTTCGTTTGGCACCAAAACATTATTTCAAAAGCTGTTAGGATTGAAATTAGCCATTTCTTGTAAAAAAAAATTGATTACAAATATATTTGAGGGGCACTTAAGGTCAACTTCTACCCAAGCGACAAGACTTTTGTCAGGGACTGTATAGTGTGCCATGATGTCATAGTAATGAATGGCATGAAAAATCATAAAGCCATATGGACGCCATAAAAACATTTTGCTATTGAATTACCATTTTATTTATCAACCCTAACCCATAAAAGTGCCATCAAAATTGTATTAAGTCCTTATAAAATAAAAATGTCATCAAAAAGTCAGAGTATAGGATGCCATATAAATATGAAGTTTAAAGTGAAGTGTCATTAACAAGTCATAGTATAGCATATCGTGAAAAACTAATGGAAAAAGGAAGAGCATGTCATAAGAAAGTGAAAAAAAATCATAGTAAAATACATCATAAAAAAGTCAGTATGTCATATATTATAAAAGGTAAACTAAGACATAGTATTGTATGTCATGAAAAAGCCAAAGTTTTGAACATCAAGTCATAACATAGTAATATGAAGTATTTGTGTATTACAGTATTTGTGTGTAGATTGAAATGTGTCCCATATTACTACCCAAGACACCCGTCACTCACCCATTAACCGGATCACCGGACCTCCATTTCTCACCGATTCTCCCGTTTGCTTTTGTCCCCATCTTACTTTGTATAATTTCTTGGGTCGTATATGTTTTCATGTACTTGTTTTGTACTCACTTTCTTTTTCTTTAAAGAAAGTGATTCATTCTAATGGAGGTCCTTACTAAAGTTAAATGTGTAGCGCAAGATTTCAGTAACTGAAAGAAATCCAGAAGACCAAAGTCAATGTCCTTAATTCCAGTTGATTTTAATTGTCAAATGTACATCGTCTCAGGGTTTAGTTTCATATTAAAACACCCATTCCTTAATACAAAATGAGAAGTTATTTATCCCCCATACAAACATCCTCTCATCCTTTAAGTATCAAAAGTAGCAGTGATTAGGCAACAACATCCAGGTGAGATATGAAGACAGATTCTTACAGGATTCACACAAATAAAAAAAATATCTGACCTCATTTTCCAGCTCTACAAAGTTACATCAGATCTAGTCATGTGCAAAGTACAGCTGAGAACAGCGCCGAACCCAAAACTACAGCACATACTTAAGTAGTCAGTTGTACAGTGCAGGAAACAGTAGCGTGAAGAAGCAGCTTTTAGCAGTCACTGATTAGTTGTGGCGACATTCTGTACTCGTGGGATTCTGGGAGCTAAGAAATCAATAATCATCAGTAGTCGCGTACAGTTTGAGTGCAGTCCGTCCGCACGTTAAAGAGCCATCGTTACCGAAACAGAGAGACTTCCAGCTTTGTAATTGAGATGTTAAGTCGTTTGTTTCGTTCACAGCGCTTCATCATTTTGTTGTGAAAAGGCAACTG